CCGGTTGACTTCAAAGGTCCCTTCTGCTTTACATAAATATTTATGCGAGTTAATTTGTCGGCATATATGCCAATGGGTGGACAGATGAGGCGATGGCCGGAGTGCGGTGCAAAGCGGGAGGGCAAAAGGGTCAGTTGGGTGCAATCAATCAGACATGAAACAATATTTACAATTTGAAGGAATTAATACGACTCGGTTGACGTCAGCTTGCAGAGTTCAGTGTGCCGCAGATGGAGAAGGTTGGTTTAAGGGAAATAGTGAGGGGGTGAACGGCGTCGGGTAGTTTTCCTCGCCTGAATGATTCGCCTGTCCGTGATACCCGCAGGTAAACAAACAAATAAGGACGAGGCCCTTCAATCTGCTAGCCCTTGGGCCTCCCCCTTGGCGCCACGCCCCCTTGACAGCCGACGCCTGTCGCTGACAGCCATACAAAAAAACACATATACACTCTTAACCAGACGCACTGACAGACACGCAACCCGTCACTTACTCGTGGGCATAAGTGTGCGTGCGCCTGCCATTTCGACTAAAAATAAACAATAGTCAAAAGCACAACAAATTACAAAAATTCCACATAAAAATAACAAGTAAAAGATACAGTCTGGCTTTGATGAAGCCGAGTTTTCTGTACTCTAACAGCCTTAAAAAATATTTCACAAAAATAAAATGTAACTAAATTTTATTTCATTTTTAAATAGAACTTTTAAATACCCTAAAGCACACATTAAGAATTTCAAGTATTAACACGTCAAATAAATCACACTTTGAGTCAAAATCCCTTTTGAATATTAAGTTCGTACCAAAGACCATGTGAATTTTCCCCATAGAGTAGTTAAGCCCTCTGCCAGTGCTCGATTAAACATACATATATTGTATGCACATAAAATTACATTAAATATTATTGCTTTACGGACGGTTTTCCATGGCAATCGCTGACTGTGTGTGTACGATTGGTGGCACAAAGGGTCCAATGGTGCGTATAATTGACATATTTGATTGTTTAACTTGTATTAGTAGGGTCAGTAAATTCCACGAACAGGACCTACTGGAAACACAAAAAGGCCAAAAAAATGCCAACAGAGAGGTTCAAAATAAGGGGCTTTGCTTAAGAAAACTCAAAGAAAACATAAGACTTTAGCCATGCAAGCGAGGTGAAAAATCATTTATTGTTCACATTAGAAACAGTTCGCTTAAAAAGGATTGAAACACGCAATTAAAATTTATTAGAATTATAAATTGAAATTAATTTTAAATCTTAAACTCTTTTATAAATAACTCTAATCAAATCACATTTAAGCTTAAACCAAACATGTAAAAGGGTATTCCTAAGAGAAAAGTTTTAAGTAAATACTGTAATTATTTCCAGCTAGGTTTTAACTTTATTTGTTACTTCATGTTCTGACGTCATGTGGTCTTGGTGATTAAGTAATGGACTTGGAAATCTGTGGAATTTTCTGTTTGGTAAGGATTTGCTCTGTCAACTGACTCTGGTTTGGGCAGCATAATCTCCTTACCACACAGAAAGTTCTCTGTTGTTTTTATATGTATGGCATAGGGAGAATCTGGCATTTGTCAGATTTCTGTCAAGCTTAATGTGTGCAATGATTATTCATTTAATTGTGTACACATGCAACCGTCAGCGACTTCAATCTGACATTGTCAGCCTGTCCGGATCACTCAACAAGAAATTCGATTTTATAACGGGGCAACAAAAGTGTGATGGATTGCTTTGCAGATTCGATTGTCTGCATGTGAGAGGGCTTCATCCTTTGAAACGTGTAAAATGGGAGGTATAACATAAATTGTAGCATATTGTTCACATAACTCGTCCAAAAATACTCCAAAGGAAAATTACGCAGGCGAGCATTCCTTGCGCAATCTTTACTAACCTGTGCTGCCAGCTTATCTTTATTTTTAGAATCGATTTTTACTTTTGAAACTAGTTTTCTTATATATTGAAAACAAATTTGTGAACAACAGTTTTGCGATTTACTGTTTCAAATAAACTTAATAATTCTGGCAGAATAACGGATATATTCCAGAAATTCCATATAAAAAGTGGAGTCAAGATATGAATGTCATTTTAAAAACGCAAAAACAAAACATTTTAAATACTTATTGATTGAGTCGCAATAGATTATGATGATTAACAAAACCTTACTAATGAATATAAAATAAATAAATAATAAAGTATTCCGCTTTTATTTGGCTGATCTGTCCTGTTTGTGGAAATGAATTCTTGGCAGCACTGTTCACTAACAAGCTACAGTCCACAGCCTGGCAATCATGTAATGTAGCGAAGCATCAACACAAACACACGGGCCTGGGCTCTGTGGGTGGGTGTGCTGCTGCTGATTGCACAAAGGATGCCCCTCAAGTCCTTGGTGACGTGTTGAGCGAAAGAATGAAACTAGCAGCCTGCGCCCGGCAGTTGAACGGAAGATCCACTGCACCTGAGCTGGGAACTTGCTGCCTGGAAGATAAATAATGGTGTGGGGTAACCCGGCAATGGCTGTTTACTATATGGGAAAGGAAACCATAGAAATCCAGCTGCACTAAATAAAGGAAAGCCCTACAAAGGCCTGGTCCCACCTGGAGGATGATTATTAGGAAGTCTTCCATCACAATTACTTTTGAAATACGCAATTGAGGACTTTTTTTTTACAAAATAAACGTACCTCTTACATAACGTGCTTCTTATTTAAAAATGAAAGTAACGTAAAATTGGCAAAGTAAAAAGTTCGTAATAACGAAAACAATTACACAAATTTTTTGTAGTTCTTTCCAAAACGAAAATTAAACCTCACTACAAATAACGATTTCAAGCACCTAAATTTATATTTTCTACCTTCCTTAAATGCCAAGCAATATAAGCCATTAAGTGACATAAGAAAAACTTGGCAGCGCGGTAGCCAATGTTAAGGAAAACCTTATCCTACCTGGCGTATGAGTTATATGGTTTATTGTTTCCCAACAACGATTTCAATCAGCAATGATTTCTTTATGGTTTCCTTTTCAAAGCGCCCATAAAGTAAATTAAAAGCTAACTAATAGAAAGAGAAACCATTCCAATAAACCGTATGTTACTTATATAAAAACCCACCTGACGTATGAGTAATATGGTTTTTTTTTCAAAAAAGTAATCCTCAAATTGCCGAATTTTTTGTCCTTTTCTAACTCATTCATCCGATGAACGTAAATTAGTTTCATAAAAGCTAACAAGGGAAACAAAATTCTTTTGTGCGAAACCTTTTGCACTGGTTCGTCCCAACTTCATTGTACATTTTGCTCCGCTTCATTCCATCCTCTTCCCTTCCCCATTCCTGTCTCATCCTGGCTTTGGCCATAGTCCAACCACAGAAGGCTCATCATCGTCATCATTTGAATACTTGGCCCGATTGTTGCATGCAGTGGCTGTTGTTGCTGCTGCTTGTGCTGATGTTGTTGCCAGGACACGTGCATCGCCGAGCTTTGCAGTTGACATTCTGTTACGCACGTTTCCTCCTTTGGTCCTTGTTGTTGCTGCTGCTGATGCTGCTGTCGTTGTCTGGACAACATGCAATGCCAAAGTATTTCTGATGCAAGTGCGTAGTTTGCTCACAGTAAGGATCGTTGAGGGTGCCCAGGGATGTGGGGCATGAAATATGCGGCGGGTTTTTAAAGGGGAAAAGCTTACTAAAAACTGGCAGAGGGTTTATGGCCTCTGTTTGTGGTAACCATGACAATATAGTCCGATGATGTCGTAAACGAACAGTTGTTACCTAAAAAGCAAAAACGTTTATATATGAATAAAAAAAATGTAAAGGGCCAAGAAAAGCCCTTTAATATAGAAATTACTATATTATGTAATTTAGACATGAAAAATGACTAGATTTTTAAATCTACACAATTTTATTCTAATATTTACATTCTTTCTTGAATGATTTGTTCCAATAAAATTAAATTAAAAGTTATTTACTTGACTGTAAATTGTTTGAAATTTGTTGTCCATCTACATAAATAATTAAATAAAAGTATCACTTTTCAGAAAGTTTACTCAATTAGCAACACTTTATAATTAAACCTACAACTACCGCCAAAAAAGATAAAGTTATAAAAATATCGAGATATAGAATGGATCTTACGTATGTATATTTTAACTGCGTATTCATTCGAATTAAGAGAACTTCGAGTTGGGAAAGTTCGATTGAAAATTGAAACACAAAAGGGCAACCCTATTTAAAAGGGTAGACAACAGACCTTCAAACCTTTTGCAAGGTTATACATGAATTCTCGTAAAAAGCTCGCCACGTCACAATCGGCAACAGTTGGGTTCTATGGGCGCGGGAGAACGATTAGGGGTGGCAGCTAGCTGGGGGGTGGGTTTGTTGGGGCAGAGCACCGTGCAGTGCTATAAGTGCAAGCAGAATGCCACACTTATGCGCACACAAGCGCCCACAAGCGCCCACAGTCTTCCCTCGCACACACACATCACCAGCTTTTGTATTGACGCACTCGAACCGGTAGCTTCAAATTACCGGTTCACGGTGCTCGCTTCCACACAAACAGAAAATATAAGTCAATTTAATGTCTCATTTGAGAAATTGTTTCTTCTTTATATTTAGCAGCATGCTATAACATTTTTTTATGATACGAAACCTTTAAAAAGAGGTAAATAATTTTATACCACCTATAGACAAAACTTTTACATTGGATTTTAAAAAAAACATAACACAGATTTTTTGCCTTTTAAATAAGATATTATAATCAGTATTTTGATAGTAAACAAAAGGCGGTTTATTTTTTAAAATTAATAGTTTTAACAATTTTATTTTTTCGTTTACAAATTGTCTTTATTTTATTTTTAAAATGCTTACTAATTTCTGTCTGTGTGCAGTTCCCACAGGTATCTTTCTGTCCCACTTCCACCTGCTGCCCGGTTTGCACAGAGTTTCGCGTCGAGCGGGGAACAGCTCAACAGCTGCAGTCGGAGAAACGCTCGAATTTCGCAGTCACATTCTCATTCGCCAATTAGCAGCCGGCGCGAGCGCGTCGCGTGTGCGGTAAAAATATTTCCCCTTATTCCGAATTTTTCCCAGCTGGAAAACTGTTCTCCCCGATCAATATCGAGAGTGATCACTGTTTGATTTAACCCGAAACAAGATGGCCACTCGGGGAGCGAATGTGATGTGGTTCCGCCACGGATTGCGGCTGCACGATAATCCCGCCTTGCTGGCCGCCCTCGCTGACAAGGATCAGGGTATAGCCCTAATTCCAGTGTTCATATTCGATGGAGAGAGTGCAGGTGAGTGGTGCATTTGTCATACAAAGTATAGTATAAAGATCCATTTCGCGTATGTATTTAATTGATAACCAATTTCCAACTAAGCAATTAAATAAAAATAACTCAATTACAATACAGTAATGTGTGAATTAAACAAATATATTTATATATATAAAAACCATTTAATATTTTTTTTGTTGTTTAAATTTAAAAAATATATAGATTTATATTTTTTATGAAACACTTACTTAAATTACAATTTTAAAAAGACTACATAAGCCTTATTATTTTGTATGTATGGCATTTTAAGTTTGAAAAAAAAAGCCATGTTAAATAACATTAAATTTACTTGTTCTGTTAACTTTTAAAAACAAAACTATCAAATATGAAAATAACCTAAAAGCAAATTAAATTGTTGGCTTCAGTGGGTTAAAATTACAAACTTTTAGCTTGATTGCCATTGCACGCTCATTCTACGTATGAGCTAATATCATTTTTTGCGACTTGCTTCGGTTATCAAATACTCCCTCTTTCCCCGATTTCGCTGCTCGTGGTAATGTGGAAAAGGGGTTGGGGAAGGGGCGGGGAAGACCTAATGCACTTTTGCATGGTAGAGCAAAACAAACGATGCGTTCTAATGCGATTTGCGGCTGGCGGTTTGGCGAATACGCGAAATCGTTGAGAGAGATATAGAAAGACAATGCGAAATGGGTAACGAGACATTGAGAGCAAACCAAAATGCGCTTGAATAGTGCCTTTTGTACTAGTGTTTAAGCAGCTCGCTTTGTGGAAAAGGCAGAAAGAGAAGGAGATTCCTATAGAACCCATAACTTGACCGATAAGAGTCGTTTTGCGGGGGAAAGCGGGAAAACAATTATTGCAAGGGAAAACGGGAAACGAGTTAAACTCAACGTTTTGTGTGCGAGAAAGCTGCAAGATAGCTGCAGTTCACTTAAAGGTGGCACTTAAACATGCAAACTTGTTTAGAATGCATAATTTTGACACACTTATGCAGTCTTAAATGTTTTACAACTTGCATGCACAGAAGGGACTTAAAAAATAAAAAGTCACATCGTACAAAATGCATTATGGTAACCTGCTTAAAACATATTCGCTATAAATTTAAAAATTAAATAAATAATATATATATATAGTATAAAAAGGTAAACGAAGTCAATATGATCAAACCTTCACAATATACTATTATATCAAACAGCGAATTACAAATTTATTTCATAAAATACGAAAATTAGATAGTAGATAGATACGTAGTTTTGAAATATACAGTTTTAAGAAAAACGGTTGTTTACCTTGGCTATCAGCATTATGTGCTTTAGGAGCTATAAGTTGCAAACTAATTTGTGTTTAAACTCCAATACTGACAATTCATGACAAAAAACTTATACATGTTTGTACTCTCTGTGTATCTTTAGACTTAAAATGCAATAAAACCATTAAAATCTATCAGTTTTCAATTAACTTATATACTTTTTATTAAAAAAACAAACCCTAACTACTCTTAAAAAGTCTTTACACTTCAATTAATTTAAAAAAAAATGTAATGAATTCGGTTGGGTAAGATCATAGCTTATATTCAGAAGGGTTATACAAATAAAGAAGCAATCAAAGTATGGCTGATAACGCACCCGTCGTTTTTTTTAAAAGGAACCAAGAACGTGGGCTACAATCGGTTCCGCTTTCTGCTGGACTCGCTGCAGAATATCGATGAGCAATTACAGGCGGCGACCGAAGGACGTGGACGTCTCCACGTCTTCGAGGGCGAACCGGCGCATATTTTCCGGCGGCTAAACGAGCAAGTGCGTCTGCACAGGATTTGCATGGAGCAGGATTGCGAGCCAATTTGGAACGATCGCGATGAAACCGTCCGTTCGCTGTGCCGGGAACTAAACATCGATTTCGTAGAGAAGGTATCACACACGCTGTGGGATCCGCGCTCGGTGATCGACACCAATGGGGGCATTCCACCGCTTACCTACCAGATGTTCCTGGTGAGTAATATGCCTTTCAAATTGAAAAGCTGAATTATTTCACAAAAATATAATTGCCAATATTAAATATCTACAAATTAACTAATATGTTTCTACTTTAACTAATTTTGAAGTATATTTATATTATTTTTATAAGCAATTATTCTCAGCTTAAGAACAATGTTATTCTTTATTTCTCTCTGTTTACAAAATGGTCCAACTTTTTTAATTCATTGCTTTTTTTAATATATGTATAAAAAAAACATACATACATATATATATATTTAAAAATTGTTTATTGTTCTATGATCTTTTAAATCTTCTAATATTTGTCTAAAAAAGCTCTAAAATATAGATTTGTTTGTTTTTTATGGATAGGTAAACTAAATCATAAGCTTTATTAGACGTTAAGAGAGCTTTGTTATTAAACTAAGTTAAATTTTCAAGTTTTAAATTCTCTAATTATTTAAACTTCCAGCATACTGTGCAGATAATCGGGCTACCTCCGCGTCCCGCCGCCGATGCTCGACTTGACGACGCCTCCTTCGTGGAGCTGGCCCCCGAGTTGCGCCGGAGTCTTGGCTATTTCGAGAAGCTGCCTACGCCGGAACATTTCAACGTATACGGCGACAACATGGGCTTTCTGGCCAAGATCAACTGGCGTGGCGGGGAGTCGCAGGCACTCCTTCTGCTGGAGGAGCGGCTAAAGGTGGAGCAGCATGCCTTCGAGCGGGGTTTCTACCTGCCTAACCAGGCGCTGCCAAATATCCTGGATACGCCCAAGTCGATGAGCGCCCACTTGCGCTTCGGTTGTCTGTCGGTACGCCGCTTTTACTGGTGCGTCCACGATCTCTTCAAGAATGTCCAGCTGCGTGCCTGTGTGCGGGGCGTTCAGATGACGGGCGGAGCCCACATCACGGGCCAGTTGATCTGGCGGGAGTACTTCTACACCATGTCGGTGAACAATCCGAACTATGACCGCATGGAGGGCAACGAGATCTGCCTGAGCATTCCGTGGGCCAAGCCGAACGAGGACCTTCTGCAGCGCTGGCGCCTGGGCCAAACTGGATTCCCATTGATAGATGGCGCCATGAGGCAGCTCCTGGCCGAAGGATGGCTGCACCACACGCTGCGCAACACGGTAGCCACCTTCCTCACGCGCGGCGGAATGTGGCAGAGCTGGGAGCACGGACTGCAGCACTTCTTGAAGTATCTGCTGGACGCCGATTGGTCTGTCTGCGCTGGCAACTGGATGTGGGTCTCCAGCTCGGCCTTCGAGCGGCTGCTGGACTCCTCGCTGGTCACCTGCCCGGTGGCTCTGGCCAAGCGGCTTGACCCGGAAGGGGCCTACATCAAGCAGTACGTCCCAGAGTTGATGAATGTGCCAAAGGAATTTGTGTGAGTTTCATATTGAAGTTAAAAAGAAGTTAAATACCAAACCTAAAAAAGTTATGAGTAAAAAAACATTTGACTGCAAATTTCACTTTTCTCATTATAAATGACTTACAATTCTTAAAACGCAAAAAATTGAAGAGCTAACATTAAGAAAAGTTAAATTTAAACTTTTGCATCTACAATTTTCCTTTCTTAAAGTCACTTTACGACGATTACAGGTTTATTAACTACTATTTATCTCGTCGCATTTTTCTTTGTATACTTCTAAACTGATGATTAACCTTCTGCTATTTTACATTAACTCATTTTTTAATGTATAATAACTAGTCGTTTACGCAATCGTAGCTTAGAATTAGTCAATTGTCGTAAAAATCTTTAATGATTCTTTTTGAAGAGATTTACAAATTTATTTAGCATTTCAAGTACACAACTTTTGTGTTCATTTTTAAAACTAAGAAATCGACCACCTTCATATATTTACCATTTTGCTTTCCCAGTCATGAACCCTGGCGAATGTCCGCCGAGCAGCAGGAGCAGTACGAGTGCCTCATCGGAGTCCACTATCCGGAGCGGATCATCGACCTCTCCATGGCCGTGAAGCGCAACATGCTGGCCATGAAGGCGCTCCGCAACTCGCTGATGACCCCGCCCCCGCACTGCAGGCCATCCAACGAGGAGGAGGTGCGGCAGTTTTTCTGGCTGGCGGATGTAGCTGTTTAATGTAATATAACCCAAGTGAACTTTTATCAGCATACACAATAAAGGAACTAGTACCATTCGTATATTATATATCATTAATAATGCTTTATTTTCTTCAATTAAAATAATTACTACAATACAATTTGTATTCATTTTATTTGGTTTCGTTTTATTTTTAACAGCTTATAACGTGTTACTCATATATCAATTTTATTCAGCTTACTTTAAAAATCGTTTATGGTGTATATATATATAATTATTATTATCATTTGTATTACGTTATCAAATTATACTTTAATTAACAGCATTAGTTAAATAGTTTTTGCTTTTAGTTTTAGTTGTATTTGTTTTTACGAGAAAAATTGAACGCGAATTTATTTCAAATATTGAAATTTAATTTTATGTCGATCTATTGATCCGTACTTCGTTTGTCTTCGTTTAATGAGAATTCCGTTTGTATCTTATAATTTGTCTAAATTGTTGTGTATATTTTATTTTAATGCCTAATTATGGTGTTCTTCTAGATGTGTGCCATACAAATGAGATATTGGTAGGGGTTGATGGGACCTAAAAGGAGTTATTGTTGAAGTTTGAGTCCCTCGACAGTTTGCTACAAATAAAATTGGAGAAAATTCAAACCCGACCAGGCCGAGCTTTTTGCTTACCCCCTACAAGGTCATTCCTCGTATAAGATCTGTGTAGGGAATATGCATTTATTTTAAGACATTCCACGTCCTCTGAATTAGTTGAAGTAAATTCGAGTAAACATTTAGAGCGTTGCTTGGCAAAAAGTTTTTCTGATTTTTCTGGTAAATGTAAATTTTACACACATATGCGTAGTATACGATAGCTGAATAAATAATTGAACCAACCAATTCAATCAACCAACAAACGAGAACGAACGAGAACTCACAGCAAATAACAATTTGACGCAATTCATACTTTAAGGAATATATTGTAACGTATTTTGTTTTTATCATTATTATATTTTTAAAGTACTCCCCGATTCAAGTGTCCTTTCTGTATGTATGTACAAATGTTTAATATTGTATTCTGTGTGCTAAGTGGATGTCTGTGTTCGAACCGATTGGCTATAAAAATAAAAAGCTGCTTGTCCCCATTCCATTTGCAATTCATTTTAAATCCCCCTGATTTCTCCCCAGCGCATTCTCATATCCCATTTCCATATGGTGCTAGCTGACTGCTTTAAGCCTATGAGGTTCAATTAAATTCATTTGCCTTTTCATTTTTCCTTTTCCCTTTCAAGTGCCTCCTGTTATCATCGTGTATGTCAGCTTTTGGATCATGAAAATATAGCTTTACTAATGATTCTGTTAAAAGCTTTAAATATTTTTCGTTCTGGTAGAGATTATAGCTTTAAAATGGACGTTTCATAGATAGATCAATAGTTTTACATAGATTTTAAGAGTTATTCCTTCGTTTGTGCAGAATTAAGTGGCAGATAGTAAAAACTCGAGGCGATTTTGAGGATATGTGCCTACAGCAGAAGAGTACGGTGTATCTAAGGTGGTTTACTTTAAGGATTTCCTCTTATTTGGGCATTTTAGATATTGGCAGTTTCTAGTGTCTTCGTGTGTTTGAAAATTTTTTGAGAACGAAATAACACATTTCCTTGGGCAAATCGCATTACAATCTTAAAATATTATTGTTTGCAGCCAGATAGAATATAATGAAATCGTAGCTTGCAGCTAACTCCACTTGCAAGCGGTTCATAAATCATTCAAACTAACCCGTGAAAGGCAACTGTTTGCACAGCCAATTCAATCCCCTGAAACCCTTCTTGAACTCCTTGGGATTTCTTGGGATTGGATTGTTACATTGACTTTTTGAAATGCAAATCAAATGCAGACCACAGATGCATAGCCAATGAATGCAAATAGACATGCCTGCCTAGGCTCCTATGTACATATTCTCAGAAAATCACATATTCAAAATGCGCCCACCTCTCGCCCTCATTTCATCGATTCTCGGTTATTCATACAGGATGTTTGCGTTTAACTTTTTACATTAACTGTCATTTGGTTTATTTCACAATTTACAAAATGCAACTTAAACAATTGGATTTTATGTGATGCAGGCCATGCGTGGAGGAGAGTGCCGTCAACAGATGTCCTGTGTGTCCTGGTTACATTTTACATACAGTGCAGTGAAAGGAACTTAACTAACTTACTGCGGTTGCAACCGTTTCTCGGGGTCTTTAATTTGTTGTCGTGTGCTACACTAGAACTAAGCTTTGTTGCTGCGGTTGCCGTACACTTGGTGTTTGCTTAGTTTGCTTTTGTTTCAGTTGACGCTGCTGTGGCTTCACATTGCTTTAATTTCGTTTCATTTTGTTTGCTTGGTGTTAGTTTGTATCGTAAATTTATTTATGGAATTTTATCTCAATTTCATTAATCTTTTTGTTTTGCCATTTAGTTCTTGTTTTGCCTGGTTTTTACATACACATATTTTGTTTACAATTTTCTACTACACTTAATCGGCGTCCGCGCGCATACCCCGCACCTCGCCCACCTGCCGCGCCTTGTCCAGCTCCTCCTTGGTCTGGTCCTCGATGGCGCGGATGTCCTCCATTGTTAGACCGTACCAGCGATCGGTTGAACAGAAAACTTGGCTAAAGGGGAACAAATTAAAATGTTAACGGCGGGTTTTATAGTTTTGTTTAAACAGCAATTATGTTAAATAAATCTACCCTGACATTAACAGCACAATATAAGAAGTAATTAATTTCGTTTTAAAAATGCTTTTATAATTTTGGTCAAAAGTGTGAAACGCAGTGAAGGAGACATCTCCGACCCTATAAACTATATATATTCTTGATCAGGATCACCTCCTGAGTTGATATAAGCATGTCCGTCTGTCCGTCTGTCTGTTTCTACGTAAACTAGTCTCTACTAAGTTTCATAAGGATCGGCAGACTATATCCTATTGCTGCCATATAACTGAACGATCGGAAATTCCATAACTTTTGTGTTTTTAAAGTTAGGAAGTTGGGATTTTTTATGAGTATTAAGAATGCATCATATGAATACTTTTGGAGAATATTTACAGAGTATTCTGCAAGGGTATATCAACTTCGGCTCCGCCCGAAGTCAGCTTCCCTTCTTGCTAGAATTAAATTACTTAGACCAACATTTGAGCGATATCCAAGAATCAATCCCTTAAAGGTTAGATAATTTAAGTAGTGTTTCTAAGTAAATTAAAGCATACCGCAGTATGTAAGTAATTAGACACACAATTCACAATTTGTAATAATTTTAAAGAATTTTTGTAAAGGTTATTTATCTCAAAGAGAAAGTAAACCTTTAGGCCTTAAGAACTCTTAGTTGAATATCATATTCCAAACTCTTTCAAAAATTTTAGGACAATTACCGATGGAAGTTTGTAAAGAGGCGGCGCTCCGACTTCTGTATAAAATTCTCTACTCTTGTTTGCAGGCCGAACCATTTGAACTCGCACGTGACCAGCTTGTAGCAGGTCATGACAGGATCCACTCGTTTTTTCCAGTCGGCTCCCACCAGGGGACCGCGACCCGTTTTCTTTGACTGGTAGCTGAAAGGATAATCGAATCGTGAATGAGAAGCTCAATTGGCAAAGCTCGATTATTACTAACGTGGTTGGATCCTCATCGGGCTTGTAGTCCGCAGGCAGGACCGGATCGTTGGCAATGTCAATGTGCACTACCTCCCGCACTTTCAGCTTATCTGGCGTCAGCTCATGCACCTGTAAAACCAAAAGGCAGGGCAAACTATATTAGAACTGCCTTTCTTGGGCATGAAAAATGGAACATTTAAAGCGATTACTACATAGACATGCACATGGATCGATGGCGGATCAGAGCTACAAAGCAGAACAGAGCAGACAGCAAACAAAATACAAAATAAACGAAACTCACGTTCTCAATATTGCCAAGGTCATTTTCTATGTGTTGTGAAAATACGTCAATTTTAAAGTTCTGATTCATATAACCAGGATTCTTTACCGAAAACCGAACGATTACAAAACCAAACCAAAACAAGCCAAACAAAAAGATTATGGATTTTGACAAAATGAAAATCATATTGATCGAATGTGGTTAGTCGTGGATAGTTAGTATTCACAATCAAATGCATGGATGAGATGAGGTGATGATGTGGAGAGAAAAGAAGAAAACACAAGTTAGTTAGATCATGCTGAGTATCTTTGACTTACATTTTCGGAGTCGCCCGCATCGCCGACGTGCAACGTGTCGATGATTATTTTGAAAGCTTCTTTCATGAATTTGGGATTCTAGAAATGCAGTATAATCAGAGTAATCAGATTGGCTCGCACAGATTCTTGACGAAATAAGGAAGTAATATTTGTTTTCCAACCCCCATATTTTGTTCGTACACTTGTTTAACGCTACGACATTTACCGTGATAATCGTTCGACAATAAGGATAGGCATTCCATGCCTCTTCGTGGATCTCCAACGAGCCCTTGGGTGCCAATAGTCTTATGTAGGCTGGAACTTTTGATTGCAGATGATAGATCTTATATGTATATTGACCGGAATTGTATTTGCCACCTGAAGGGAATGGAAAATTAAATGTTCACCCGGAGTTATTAATTATGAATCACTAAGAACTTACCCAGCAGGGGGAAGTCTTGGAACGGTTCGTTCTTTAACACCTCGATGCCCTCGCCGCCTCCCGTGTTCTCCTTTGACGCCTCGGCCACCGAGAATAATTGTGCAACTTGATACTGTGAAGCAGAAAGGCGAGATGGGAATGTTATTCCCTGTGAAGCAGCGGGCTTTTCCACCAGTTAACTACTCTCTTACCTCTTCCACAGTCAATGGCAAAGTCACACGGCTGCAACGAGAAAAAACAATGACTGTGTCAGCGAATGTATGCATAAAGGCTACACGATTTTAATTAAGTTTAATATAACAATTTTAATTAAATACCAGGCCTGTGCATAAAAGGCTGTTGATACCCTTAACTCCCCATCGAGGACACGGGGTATATCATATTCGTTGAGTGTGGGAAATATTAAAATAATGAACAATAACCAATGAAATCCAATTAACAACCTGTTTTTGTTCCAGTT